AGACGGGCAGACGGAGCGGGCACATCAAACCGCTCAAATGATGCTTCGTACGCTCATCCGTCCGGACCAGAAAGATTGGGTTGACCGCCTCCCCGACATCGAGTTCGCCTACAACACTTCGGTGCATCCGGCGATCGGCGTGACTCGATTCGAGTTGCACCACGGTGGACGGAAAGGTTGGATCTTCGCTGACCTTCTCCTCCCTCGACCAGCCGACATTGACGCTGCCTGCTCTCCCGCTTCCGTCCGGAAGTACAGGGAATTGCTGACTCAAGCCCGCGCAAATATGCAAAAGGCTCAAGTCCGCATGCAGCAACAAGCCAACAGGCGTTGCGTACCATGTCCCATCCGCGCCGGTGATCTGGTTTGGGTCTCCGCGGAAGAGTTTGCACTGGAACAGGATGTTTCACGCAAACTGCTTCCCAAGTGGTTTGGACCTTGGTCTGTGACAGCAGCCACGGGCGATGAGCCCGATGACCCTTCATTTGTGATCAATATTCCAGAGCATCTGACGGTCCATCCGGTCTTCCACGCCTCGAAGCTGGCAACATACACGCCAGCCAAGAGGGACGACTTTCCGGACCGACGATTGCAGGACCCTCCTTCTATGGATGGCCATCAGGAAGTTGACCGCGTCATCTCCGATCGCAAGTACGGCAGCAAGCCGCGATAGTACAAAGTCACATTCAAAGCATGCGATCGCGACGACACTCGGTGGATTTCAGACGCAGATTTGAAAGCATCTGCACCGCTGATCTACTCGCATTATGAAAAGCGGAGGTTAGCTCAGGAAGCTTCACGACCAGCCCCTCCCACCCGGATTGTGGTCCCTCCCTCATACAGACAGCTTCGCCCTCGCAGGTAAGCTCGGCTCTTTAAGGAAGGGGGGGGGGTGGCGTACTGCGTAGCCACACGGGCCCTGCAGGGCCCGTTCTGCAGGGCCCGTCCCAAACATACAGCCTAAAAGCCTAAAACTTAGGGCTTACAGGCCCCGTTCGTTTCAGCCTGAAAGCTTAAAAACGAGGGGCTGCAGGCCCTACCCCGTTTCAGCCTATTTCTGGGTCTTTTCAGACCCAGAGTTTTCAGCCTGAAACGGAGGGCCATTTTCAGGTCCTCATTGTTTCGACCTGCCCCTAAGACTCAGGCACGTAAACAGGGATGCGGAACAGGCCAGAAATAGCCTGTTCCTCACGAGTTTGAGTAGGAGCTGCAGCTGCAGCCCCTGCCTCCCTTCAGCAGGCTCAGGAGGCACACCCGGTAGTACATAGGAAGGTCCCATGCACTTCATGGGTAGGTAGTGGTCAGTAGGCACGAGTAGTCTTCACGATTTGACCGCAGCACTCAGGAGGAGCGCTGCAGTAGTCTCCAGCGCCAAGTAGTAGTAGCGCTGGCTGTAGTCTTCGGCGCTGGGCGCCATAGCTGTAGCTGTAGTCTTCAGCGCTGGGCGCTTGTAGGTAGTAGATCGTAGAGTGGGAGAGAGACTGGCGGAGGCCAGTGTTACTTACCTGTGGTGCCATCGCTCCAGCTCCATCTTCGTGGTACCTACATCAAGGCGCCAACTTCACAGGTTAGTATTAGACACAGAGAGAGAGAGTTTTTCTTCTTCCTCTTCTAAGTCCACCTTCTCTTCTCACCCTCTCGCCACCTGACTTCTCAGACTACAACAGAGAGAGACAGAGTTGTGACTTGAGACTTGATGACATTGGATCCAGACTGGACATTTGGGATTCAGACATTTCGACGAGGGACTATTTGGGCCTGTGTCGAAGACTTGGTGTTGACGACATTCCCATCTTCCCCCTCCTCTTCGTCTATCCCCTTCCTCTTCGTCTGTGTATGGTATGGGCTGGCGCTGTCTTCCTGTGTGAAGCGCCAGACCCATTCACACCATGTAACGATGATGATGATGTATGTTCAGGGCTGCATTACAACATTGATTGTTCGGATCACTGGTATCTAAGTCTTCCGCTGTGTTATCTTGTACTTTGTATTGAAAGGTCGGTTCTTGTTCTGGTCTGCACGTTACAGTATGCAACATATGCTATATCAACAATTCTGGTCTCCTAATCCTAGAGCAACTTCTAGCCCTCCTTGTACCAGGACATTGTAAATCCGAGACAAAACCAACCTAACCAATGTCACCCATAGCTGATCTCTCCTCGCCACCGAGCAGCCCCCCCCCGATTCGCCAGTGGATTGCCTTCCTCCCTCGRCAACCCCCAGATCTCTCTACAAGGCCTCATGCTCCTGCCTTTGCAGGTTACAGGGCAACGCCGCAGCTCCGACCAACGTCGTTCTGGCGTCGGCAAAACAGGGGCACAGAAAAGAACAACTCTGCAGATATCGGTTCGGGTTCGACCATCTCTGAAATCCTATATCCTGGATGTGGAAGAAAACTAGATCCTGTCCAAAAATTCCAGAACACCAGAAAGCTTTTTTTTTTTTTTTTGAGAATAGGGCCCAGTGCCCAAGGCTGATATTACCAATATGAAAATTGAGGTCGGGGTCCTCACAGTCTACCCGGAGTGTCAAAAATGAAAGTTGCTAAGAACCGGGCTCAACGTCCCTTTTCCTCTGAGAGGACTGGCAATACTCTTCTTTTCAACTGAGACAAGGAGAAAACACTACCTCTTCATCCTCCTTTGAGGACGCCTGATTACCCTACTGTAATTAGCAGTGTTTTACTCTATAATCCATACCAAGACAGTGGGACCCGGGCAAATGCAAGGGGAGGGAAAGGATCTGGGAATTCTGCTAGAGGACGCATAGGTATTGAGGCTTCAATAGAAGTCCAGTCATCAAATACTAATTTGTAGTCTCTTTTAATTTCAGCATCATCATCCACCGTTGCCCCATTCCATATGACCTTTCCAATTTTCCTTCCATGGTTTCCAATTTTCCTTCCATGGTTTCGAAAATGTCTTTGGATTTTTTATATGTCTGAGAGAAATTGAACTTTTTCTTTTATTTGAGACCATTTTGTTAAAATGTCTGTTTGAATTTGCTGTTTCATAGTCTCTGTGAAGTCCGTCCCATCTAGTCTAGCACCTTCCCATTCATAAGTACACCTTCTCATCCAAATAGTCCACATTACCGCTCTTCTCCCTATACGAAATAGATTATATACAAATTCTTCATTATCCTCCACTATTTCTTTATTAGGGATCCATGTCTCTAGAAGGATCACTTTCCATCCCCATGGCCAAGGGACCTGTGGGACTATTTGAGACCAAATGCGGTCCCACCACCTCCATATCCAGATAGAGTCAGGACATTGCATAAAAATGTGTTCTATAGTTTCAGGAATTGTTCTGGTAGGGAAGGCTGATCTGCAGAGCTTGCACCATTTAGATGCTAATCCTTTTTGTTCTAATGAAGATTTGTCAATAAGCCAATCATTGGTTGGGAGACACCTATGTTCAATTTGCCATTGGAGGGAAGCCATTTTGGCTGGTTTGTCTTTGACAGTTTTAAACCATCTAACTGACCTCAACTCCTCCTTACTTATATTAAGGTATTTCATCCATCTGGTGGAGACCTTGTCTTTCAGATTAATTCTCGGTCGTAGCATTCGATAGGCTGATTTGACTTTAAGTGAGTAAATAGCCCTTTTGACTGAAGTATTGTGTCTTCCAATTCTTTTTGCAGTACTCCATACCCAATTGGTTGGGTCAAGAGGAAGTGCGAAGATAGGACATTCTGGTTTGAAGGCTAGCCCAAAAATCTTTAAATCTGATTACCCTTATCCTGAAAATATGTTGAGGCTGAACCCATCGTGTTTCCCCTTGCCCCATTTGGACAACAACATTGGTAGAAGATAGAGAAAAAAATTGTAGAAGAAATCCCCCATTTTGGGCATGCTCAAGAATTCTTCCAATTAACTGGGTTTGAGACTTGAGTGCTACCCAATCATTGATTAATTTGGGACCTTTTCTAAGTATCCGAATCCATTCTAGTGGGATTAGTTCTATCATCTTTTCTAGAGTTTCCTTCGAGTGATGACAGTACCTTAGTCTTTCTTTGAGTTTAGATGGATCAATCCAATCATTTGTTTCCTTATCCCATATATCATTTATCCTCATAACTCCATTGTTAATCCAACCTCTTCATGGCGAATGCATACAATGGAGAACATATCCTTGGGAGTCGCGAATCCACCTATTATCAAATAGAGGTTGTTGACACACTTCCTCCCATCTCTCTGGTGGGAGTTTGTCTGTTAGGGGAAGTTGTCTCCAAGTCTCAAGCATAGAGACCCAAAATGGGTCATTTTTCAAGTCTTGCCTGACAACCTTCCTTCTTGAGTCTGTGGATGTTGTTGCAACTGTGGGTTTCCCCCTTGGGATAGTCCAAGATCTATTTTCCAACCATGTTAAAGGATGAATTTCCTCAGTCGTTGAGGGCGCCAGACGCTTAAGTTGTTCCAAGGCCAATGAATAAAAGACGTTGAAACCATTGGATAGAAAGAGCCTTGGTTTGAATTAAAGGATCAAGAATCCCCAGTCCCCCCCTCGCTTTTGGTTGAATAATAGACTGCCAAGCTACCCTATTGATAACACTGTTATACTCATGATTTCCTCTCCATAAAAAGGCAGCCAGCTGCTTCTGAAGAAGTTTAAGGGAATTTCTATCCATAGGCCAAATTCCTGACTTATACCACATAGATGCCAAGGTTACATTGTTAATGATCATCGATCTTCCAAAAATAGAGGTATGTTTATTCTTCCACAATTTCATTTTTGACTGAACAGGTTGTGAAATTCATTCGTTATGGTTCTTTGGTTTACCTTCAGTTGATAAAGAAATCCCTAGAACCCTGATAGGAGTATCCAATGATAACCATTTTATCCTTGGTAATTATGGAGGTCTCCCACCTTGGTGGTGTATCCACCAACCAGTTGTTTTACTACCCCAATTAACTTTCATGTCTGATAAACAACAATTTTTTCCCATCAAATTTTGTATTTCTGCCATATTTTCATTGGTGGCATCAACCATAAGGGAAAGGTCGTCTGCAAAGAGAGAACAAATTGGAATTGACCTGTATTCTACGAATATCTTTGTGATGTCTCAAATTTGTCGCGAGTGCTTTCATAATAATGACAAAAAAGAAGGGTGTCAAGGGATCCCCTTGACGAACTGATCTTTCTAAAGGGATGGGGAGGGCCACATTGTTGTTGACCATCACCCTTGTGGTGGCATTTCAGTGCAAGATTGTCACCCATCTTTTAAAATTAGGACCAAAATTCATCCTTTCCAAGCATTTGTCCAGAAAAAGTCAATCTACATGGTCAATGGTCATAAGCCTTTTCAAAATCTATGAAGATGAATGTTGCATTGTGTTTAAACTGGCGAGATATTTTAAGAAGTTCATTTACTAGAAGGATATTATCCTGAATGTTTCTGCCAGTTATAAATCCTGTTTGAGATGGGTGAATAATTTTTGGAATTATTTTCGATCTGCTAGTGTTTTAGCTATTAGTTTATACACCACTGTAAGAAGAGTTATTGGGCGATAATTTCTTATATTATTCTTATCTCCTTTCTTATACAGAAGGGTAAGAACTCCCTGGCCAACAAATTCTCCCATCTCTCCTGATTCCCAAACTGCTTGGTAGTAATCCATTAGATCCTGAGATATAAAATTCCATGTTGATTCCCAAAATTCCTTTGGGAGACCATCGATGCCTGGGGATTTATCTCCATCCATTAGTAAGAGGGACTTCCATACTTCATCCTT